CAACAAAAAAAAGTCGAACTTCAGTTTTTTCTTGAATAAGTAACAGAGACGTTTTGCCACAACAATTTGACACCATATTGTATTAATTAGAACTGTTGAATCCAAACCAGAATAATAAGTATTTATTTATATAATAATAAATAATCTCTCTGAGAGACGTAAGTCAAAGATATGTAGTTGGAGAATAAGATTTATATCTTTATGCCAAGTTGATGCTATACAGAATGAAAATAATTTTGGTGATAGAATAAATATATTGACGTAGATTCTGTTGAAGAAGAAGGAAACTGATATTGAAATATGTCAAAGGAACGTATCCAACATAACTTACTATGTGTCGATAGTAAGTGAAGAAGGAAGATAACATTGAAACATGTTGCACTGATCAAGAATTAGAGTCATACTAAGATAAGATTACTTATGTTAATTAGAATTATATTTTGTTTAGAATTATATTATGATTAGATTTAAATTATGACTATGATTACTATTAGAATCATAGTACGATTAGGATTTAGATTATTTATAATCGCATTATTATTATTATAGTAGTAATAGGTACTATAGTACAACTCTAAGTATAGTTAACTTGAAGTCAGCTTGTTATAGGCAAATTAGTAAGTTGTGTTGTGGACATGTTCTAAACATTAATTTCCTTATTTTTCAACAGATTCAGGTAAAATGATTCGAAAACTTAAAAATAAAAATAGAATAAAATAGGACAGAATCAAATAAGGTCGAAGGAAATTTCATAGATGAAAAAGCTATATATTTAAATTATAACTTAGGTATATATATGATAAACATTATTGACCATTCTTTATTTTTTTAGTGTAATGAAAATTTTGAATTGGATAATCAATGAATCTATTAATAAAGGTAAAGTATAATTGACCATTTGACCATCTTTTTAGAGTTATACTTTTACTACATTTAATTTATGTCTACATGATATGTATGTATGTGGCATCTTTTTCTTTTAAAACAACTATTTCGTGCACACTTCGTTTATTAATATACTTTTGATTATGATTTAATTGGATTTATTTAGAACTGTTCAATTACTTGTTCCTATAGGAAAATTATGAAAGCACACATATTCTCAAACATTTGATTTGCTAGACAAAAAAAGACATACAAATATATATTATATAGTCATCACAATTATTTATAATTTAATTTAACTTTCCTAATTAAGAAGTTTGACCTTATCTACTTACACGTGGAAATTATAATTTACAACATCAAACAATGCTATAAATAATTTGTACCTAGGAGTCACACCGACCAATCAAAATAGTCCCATGAAGTATTGTACGTGTGTTAGTGACTATATACTCTGCACCTATTAATTTCATCTCTATATCCAATGATGATAGTCCACACTACGTGCGGACGTGAACGGATTGAGATAAATTTGAATTATTTTAAATAGATTGAAATAATAAATTTTCGAATTGCTAATTTGTTCGAAAGTTATTTTGGGCAATTTAGAGCACGTTGAATGAATTGTGATTTTATATAAAGTACATAAATTTTAACAATTTGGAAGATCGTTACATTTAATTTTGAAATTTTTTAAATAATAATAATTTTAAATTTTTCAAAATATGCAGATGCATTATTTCTTCTTCTGATACATAGCAAACTATATGTAACTATAATTCAGATTTATACCGATTTAGATTTGAAATATTTAGGGTACGACTACGTATCAACAAAAATAATAATATTTATATTAGATACATTATACATAAAAACAGAGTTATAATGTATCTGATAGAAGTGGAGTGATGTATACAAATATTAAGAAAGAGGAGGGAAAAAGAGATTCTTATTATTAATTCAAAATAGTATTGATTTTTAAAGATTATATTATCTTTAATCACATAAATACATACTTTTTCCGATAATTTTAAGGGCTAAAATTTTCACATCTACCTTCACCTCATATAGTCTTGATGCAAGGTCAATAAGGAAAGATAATATATAATACATCAACATAATCTTTAATGATACTAATAAATTTTATTTAGATAGTCAAATTAATTTATATTTGATATCATAAACGAAAAACGTTTTAACTATCAAACACTTTCAATTTTTTATTTTTTATTTTTGAAAAAACCCATTTATATTGACTCATCAATAAACACAGTACTAGTACCCATTGTACCATCACTCGAGCGTTAAAGACATATATGCGCTGCATCTATTGATTTCACTTCTACCAACTTTATTTTATTTTTGATTTTTTCGCTCGATATTTGATATTCATAATAAAATTTACTTAATTTTAATTTTATGTCGGGTAAAATTTTATTCGAAAGATAGTTCTTCCTATCAAAATTTACTCATACTCGAAATTTGAATACGAAATTTTTGATTAAAAAAGAATCATTCTCATTCACGGCATCGTATCCACTTCTATCAATTATAGTCCTTATACATTTCATTTCGATACGAGGAAGGAATCTTTAGTTTCTAGGTAGCTATGCATACCTATTTAATCGTCGTGCGGGTGTGAATTTGGTTTTTCGATTTAGATTTACGTGTTCGATTTCAATTTTTGAATAGTACAATTTAACCAAACCAAAATAGGGGGGACAAGATAATGATCAGATCGATATTTAAGTTTATTCGTTGTTTGGAATGTCATTAAAAATTGCTAGTTTTTAATTAAAAAAATAAATTTAAACATGCATATTTCTAACTAAAACACGAAAAAACTTATTAAAAAACATTTAGTTGTAGTAGTTACAATACCAGGAAAAAAATTATTGAATTTTAAAACAAATGTGTGAAAAAATTATTATTATTGTTTTTCCATGTTTTAGTCAGAGATTTTTATCTCAAATTTAATTTGTTTATTAAAATGTGGTTAAACATAGGATAACTTCTAAAACAATGATTAAATGTTGATTAGTGGTCCAAAAAAGTATGCAGGTTGCCTAATTTTGTTTGAAATTATTAGGGTTGGACCAATGGAGGAATTCATTTTTAAACAACACAAGTATCACATTCCTCAACAGTTGAAAAAAAAATATCTATGTGCTTTTCCGACATCATTTTTGGTACCCTATTTTAATTTACGTGACAAAGTTTAAGAAACAATCTTCTTTATCTTGATCGTTCATTGAACATGATATAATTTTTGCAAAACAATACTACAAATTACAAGAATGAAAATTTAAAAATATTTAAAGGACATCATACGAATAATTTGCATGAATAAAACTCTCAGCATTAATATAAATTGGGATAAAACTCAAATATCTTTTTTAAAGTCGATAGCCAATTACGACTTTGATTGTATTTACTATTTAGAATTTGATGCTTTTTTATTCAAAACCATAAAAGAATACTATGACTTGTTGAAGACTTAGATACATTTTTTTATATTAATGAAAATCACCATAAAGTATATGATTGTACTTGGACCAAACTACTTTTTAGCTCTTTTAAAGCTAATGAAAAATAAATAAAATACAAGGATTGATTTTAGAGAAACTTAGATAAATGTATCTTTCAAATATCTAGTTTATTACACTCTCTGTCTCATTTTATGTGACACTTTTCGTTTTTAGAGAATCAAACAGTTTAATTTTGATCGGATATTCGCATATGAGATCTTCAAATTTTTTGAATTAAAATTTATATATTTGTAAACTACGTAAAGAGTACTATAAGTCACAATAATTGATAGTTCAAAATGTTAAAAGAATCTATGTCACATAAAATGAGACGGAGAGAGTAATACAGATGAATTATACATACTATATAACTTAGATTTGTCAATGATACTTTGTTATCCCTACATACAATCTCTCCCAATTAATGTGAACTTAGAATAGACAATTAAAGAGTAAGGGAATAGTGTATAGTGATGATGTGGGGACTAGAAGTTCAAAAATAGCAAAGAAACAAATCAACTTTTGTTTAGAATTAGGTTATAAACTTAAACATAGTAATAGGTGCAGAGATTGTGGTCTGATAAACTATATATGTATATGCCCCAATTAGATGAATCTAATAGTATGAGCTTGTTAATGCACCCTTTTTGTTCTGTCCCTCATTTTCTTTCCAATTATTTAGACCTTATCCTAATTTGTTCCACACCTCTTTTGCAACTTTCATTTCTCATTTGTTATTTGGTATGTATTTCATAATGATATGTATCACGAGTTCGAATTTTAATAGTATTGAGTTCATGCACATCGATGAGAGACTAGTTATTTGGTTTTCTTATATGATTTCTGACTATAATTCTCATATTAAAAGCTAGTTTTTGAAGTTGTGTTAGATCAAAATTTTATTTTTTTTACTATAGTATCAGAGTCGACAACAACTCATTTTATGATTTTTACTCTAATATAAGCCCTATCTTATATTGTCCATACCAATCTTAAATATCACATTTAATTATTTAGTCTCCTTATATTGTCTTGTGACTTTTTGAAATTAAGATATGTTAGAAGGTTCATTTGATATTAACAACCTTTCTAGGTAGAGACAAATACACAATTCAAATTAGACGAACTTAATCCTTAAGATTTCTAGCACTTACTATTTAATAATACTTTTGACATATTAGATCAAAATTTATTTTCAGAAAATTGGAATCAATATTTTGCTCTATAGTGGAATCCAAATTTATCAAAATAATAGTAATTTTTTTTTAAAAATGAAAAAGGTAAAATAAAATAAAAAATCCTTATACCATATGAAATGAACAAAAATGTTCTCGATTGAAAGCTTGATCCAATAATATCCTTATTGTTGTTAATAATTTGATAAAATAATGCTTTTAAACTTAAATGAAATGAATAAAAATGTCATAATCGATAGTTTGATTCAAAATGTCTTTTGATGTCGCTAGTTTGCCCTCCAAATTATATGGAAAAAAACAACTAATTTCTTCTTTACTTCTTTTTCTCTGATCAGCTGTTCTTTTAACAAGAGAATAGATATTGGCCAAGTGCTAAAAACAATTATGTTACTACTAGAAATTGCAATCACATTGAGGCTGAATATAAAACCCATACAAATTTTTTAATGTCTAAATTGTATATGATGACAAATCAAATATTACAATTTGGACTTTCAAATTTGTCAATAGTATATCTTTATGCCATTCTACCTTATACCTAAAAGTTTTATAGTAAGGTAAAGATAATATCTCAACTCTGAAATCTATAGGACTTCCAAATATGAAAGAAAAACTCAAATCCATCCTAGTTAGCAGAAAGACGAGTATTCCTTCCTCATTATCAGACGATCACTAACATCTATTTCTTCGTCACACCAATCCTTGTAAGTACCAAATATGCCAATACTCTATATCCCACAAGCATTATAGTCAATGCAACAACTGATATCGCGTTACCTCCAAGCCCTACAGACTTTATCGCGGGGAAATCATGCACATAACAAGTTGCATCCACTACGCCACAATGATACATTTCCCCTTCCTCATACTGTGACCCTACCAAGAGCTTGAATGTATACTGGGTAAGCGATATGTACTTTAACCAACTAATGAAGCTAGGAACATGATGAACGAAAAATCCACTGACTAGAGTGAACGATAGCATGGTTACTGAGGCGAGTACAGTAGCTGATTTTAGATCCATGATCATCGCGCCAATTGCAAGTCCAAGGCCTTGTGCTACTAATACACCATATAGAACAGTGAACAAGGTAGAGAAAAAGTTCACCGGGGATTGTTTTAGGCCCGTTGTCCAGTATGCTATGATGACGAAAATAGTTGGAAGTACTAGCTCCATTGGAAGATCACCAACTATTCTTGACATGAAGTATGAAGAGAGTCGATATGTACCTGAGGCTCGTTCCTTCTCCAACATCATTCGTTCTGGTGGGAACGTGAAAATAGCTTGGAAGAGAGGATAGAACCCCCAAAATGAAGTGATAAAGAACATGAGCCCAGTCTGCATCAATCGATAAAATTACAACTCTTTAGAGTTAGGAGTCGTTACGTTATGTTATGCAAGGGGAAGTAGTTTGTAATGCAGAGGAAGTAGAGAATATAACCTGATCCTGTATGTCAGTCGATCGCCACCATAACATTGCACAAAGTATAGATACAATAAGGACCTGTGCAACCTTGAGGAATGAGAAGGCATCGTGTTTTCGTTCTTTCATTCCTCTTCTAAACAACACAACAGCTTCATTCCACCAAGTGTTGGACCATCGATCAAGTTCCCCTTTCTGTATTTTTTGATGATCTTCGCTATCATCATACCTTTGCAATTCTTCCTTCACTACATCCAACAGATTTGTTTTGAACGCGGTTACTAGAGTCTGCTTGATTGATGCTTGATCTTCTTGTGGATCATCTACAACACCTGCACAAATTGATCACGACGAATGTATATAGGACATTTGCTATATGATGAACACGCCTAATCGTGTGTGAACCTATGTCATTTTCTATAGTGATATCAAGTAAGAGCGTAGATGAACATACCATTTGCAAGATCTAACAAGAAGTCGGAGGGATTCATAGCAACGGAGGGTGAAAATCCAATGCTTGAAAAATAGGACATAGCATCTTCACCTCTGCCAAAGTACAGGGGATTTCCTTCAGACAATAACAACACTTTGTGAAACATGTAAAACAGTCTACTTGAAGGCTGATGTATTGTCATAACAATCGTCCTCCCACCGTTCACCAACTCCCATAGAGTCGACACAATCTTTTGAGCTGTTGTTGAATCAAGGCCCGATGTTGGTTCATCCAAAAACAACAAGCTCGGATTAATAAGCATTTCTTGTCCAATGCTGACTCTTTTCCTCTCCCCTCCCGAAATCCCTCTCAATAACGGACCTCCAATGATACTATCCTTGCATTTGGTTAATCCCAATTGAGAAATCACAGCCTCAGCATGCGCGACTTTATCCATGTGTGATAAGGTTTTAGGCAACCGAAGCAAGGCAGTGTATACTAGTGTTTCTGTGACAGTTAAGTGAGGGTAAAGAACATCGTCTTGAGTAACAAATCCGGTGTAACGTTTCATAGCATTTTTGAAGGGCATTCCATTATAAGTTATAGTACCTTCAAGACGACCACTTAAACGACCTCCTAACCCCGTTAACAACGTTGTTTTACCACTGCCTGAGGGGCCTAACATGGCCAGCATCTCGCCGGGGAACACTATACCAGTAACACCCTTTAAGATTATTTTCTCTTCTTGTGATTTAGAGGAACTTTTGAACATCCCTTCAGTCTTGGCCTTAATCTTGTATACAACATTGTCAAACTGCACATTTTGTGATACAAATAACATTAACACAAATTCCTACTCCACAACATCAAAAAGCATCATAGGAAACCAAAAGACAACTCGTCTATCATACTAAAAATAGTTGTTCAGTATAGAGAAACACCGACTATTTATCACATAGTTACTAACTTAACACTTTCTTAAGCATCGTAATACAGTAAAATTATCATTTTGTTTATTGCTCCTTCACAATTCAATACCGAATGAGTAAAAATTAGACATATTTCACTTTCCTTATTATATTCAAACAATGATATAATAAAATATAATTTTATTAGTAAAGGTGTACCAAGTCAATACTGAACGAGTAAAAGGACACAGAAGGACTACTAATAACTAGGATTCAACATAGAATATTTATAACTATATTCTATACGATTTTTTACTTGTATATTCTAGCAACGTAAAAGAGAAATTTATCATTTCTACTAGTCAAATTTAGATTCCCAATTAATTTAATAAAATATTTTCTCAAAGAAAATGCCAAGTCAGTTTTGACTAAGTAAAATCAAATAGAACACAAAAAAATAGTAACAAACTTACGTATTTTCCTGAAAAACATTTTCATTTAAAAAAAAAAGTACTTCATCTCAAACACACCGTTTAGATTAAAAACAATAATTTATTTTTTTACAAAGAAGAAATTGGACAAATTTAAAACAATAGAACTAATGAAACACAAAATCAATGTGTTTAAACAAGAATGTACCTTTCTTTTTTCATTAATTTAGATTAAAACGAATACATGCATGTAATTTTCTGGGGAAAAAATAATCAAAAGAACTACCACCAAATTATCAACATAATTTACAAATTTTAACATAAATCACATTAATAAATAAATAAATTACCTTGAGAGTGACAGGAAAATTAGTTTTCTTGAATATGGCTGCACTTTCCAGCTGAGTAATTTGTATTTCCTCCATTTTTTTTATAAATAATTTTCCCCCCTCTCTTCTTTGAAGAAGAAAAGAGAAAAAACTAAATAAAATGTGATTGAAAATATAGAACAATTTGATGTATTTATATATCGGTGATAAATATTGTTGGGTATACGTAAAGTTTGGAGGGGATATGAGACGTGTTACAATATATTTTGAGGTGTAATAAATGATTTTCTCAAATCACTTTTAGGGTTCTTAATTTCCCGATGAGTGAGATGACTTATAGTTTAACTAGGACAGATATAGTAAAATTATTATTTTATTTATAACTTGATGAAGAGAAAATTTATAATTTTATTAGGATTGATATTGTGAAATAAGTATTTTATTTGTAAATATTAAAATATGAATTGAGTCAAATATAAGTGCGTATATATAGAATTTAGAAAAAGCAAATAATTTTAACCAAAATTAAGAAAGGAAAAAAGATAGTGGTTTTATTGGTTGGTGATATTATTTTTTTTTCCCTTTTAAGGTTTTGGGGGTTAAAATTGTTTTAACTTTTAAATCTTTTTTTATATGTGGAAATGATTCAAATTTCAAACTATCAAAAAAGCTTTGCTGCCATTAATTTTTCTTTTCCTTTCTGTTTTTTTTTTGGTAAAAATAATTTATCTTACGTTGCGGAAAGTCAAATCAAGATGAGCTTTGACTATGTTGATGTGATGAAAAAATAATTTTTTATTATTAGTCAAAATTTTAGACATGATAAATTTTCTAATTTTACAGTTACGTTGCGAAAAGTCAAAGCTGCATGAATTTTGACTGTTATGTTTCAAAACTCTAGAAATGTGACAGTTTCTAATTTTACAGTTACGTCGCAAAAAGTCAAAGTTACATGAATTTTGACTATTATGTTTATATGGTGAAAACTAATATCAAATATTAGTTAAAATTCTAAACATATGATGATGTTTTTAATTTTACAGTTACATTGCGAAAAGTCAAAGTTGCATGAACTGTAATTGTTATGTTAATATATGTGGTGAAAAAATAATTGTTAAAAGTTGATCAAATTTTTTGCAATTTAATTGTCATGACGCAAAGTATGACAAGTAAAAGTGCACATGCGACTATTACGTTGACATCCCGTGGATGTGTTCCCATGAAGTACGAGAAATAATACAAATAAGTTTTTGGCATAATATGTTATTCCAGAGACACACTTATACTATACTAAGGTCTTATTATTCCCTGAACTTATTTTATAAGTAATTTTCTATCCCTTTTTAGCCTACATGACACTATTTGAAAAAAAAGTCAACCATCATTGGGCCCACAAGATAGTGTCACGTAGGCCGAAAAGTGGTAAAAAATTATTAATAAAATAAGTTCAGGGGGGTAATAGGACCTTAATATAGTATAAGTGTGTCTTTGAGATTTCGGGGGCATTATCCCTTTATTTTTTAAAAAAAATATATTCTAGATTTTTTATTTTTCTCGCCAAATTTTCTGACTATTTATTTAAATAAATGGAAAAGGGTTAAAACTACCCTTAAACTATATTTTGGTTCAAAACTATCCTTCCCGTCAAACTATTGGGTCAAATGTGTCATTTTATTTAATGGCAATTGTTAAATGGCATGTGGATGCCTCATGCACGCCAATAAATTTTCACTGTCACATAGACTAAAAGGAAAAGGGTCAAAAGTAACCTTTAACTATCTGAAAAGCTCATATTTACCCTTAAACTATATTTCAGCTCAAAACTACCCTTTCTGTCAAACTATTGGGTCAAAATTGACCTTATTAGCGGAAGTTGTTAAATACCACATGCATGCCACGTTGCACGCCAATAGGGTTCCATTGCCACATTGACTGAATTCCTAAATCTTGATTACTCATTCTCCCCTCATTTCATTATTTTCTAGTAACGATTTCACCCCTTCTCCCTCATTTTGTGGCTAAGGTTTCACACTTTTCTTTGTCGGTGGGTTTCAAAGTGGATAGGGTTTCACACTAGCCTACAAGCATGAATATACACTTTGAAACCCAACCACGAAGAAAAGTATGAAACCCTAGCCGCGAAATAAGGAAAAACGGGTGAATATATCATTTCTGGAAATAATGAAATGGGGGGGGGGGGGGCAGTATTTAGGATTTAGGGATTTAGTCTATGTGACAGTGGATCCTTATTGGCATGCAACGTGGCATCCACATGACATTTAACAACTTCAGTTAATAAGAAGGACTGTTTTGACCTAATAGATTGACGGAAAGAGTAGTTTTGAACCAAAATAAGTTTGAAGGTAAATATGAGCTATTTTGGATAGCTTAAGGGTATTTTTGACCCTTTCTATTCAGTCTACGTGGCAGTAAGATCCTATTGGCATGCAATGTGGCATTTATATGGCATCCACGTGGCATTTAACAACTTCCGTTAATAAAAAGGGAGGGTACTTTTGATTCAATAGTATGACGGGAAGGGTAGTTTTGAACCAAAATAATGTTTAAAGGTATATATAAGCTATTTCGAATAGTTTAAGGATATTTTTTAGCCTTTTCCGTTAAATAAATATGTCATTTAACTTGGTTTCAACTGATACTTATGTCCTTCAATTTTGAGCATGCGCAAATAGTACATTTATGCCTACTTGAGTAAGCGCATATAATATATGTGTCTACTTGTTCACACCAAATAATATATTTATATAGTTGCTGGCATCAATTATTTTTTTCCTTTTTTTTTTGTTTTTGGAGTATCATTTAAATTTTTTGATACAATTGATTCAAACTTCTAACCATCAAAAAAGCTTTGCTGCCATTAATTTTCTTTTCCTATTTATTTTTTGGTTCTAATATGTTTATCTAGACGTATACATGACAAGAAATAAATATCTAGTTTAACTTTATAGTTACGTTATGAAAAGTTAAATCTGTATGGACTTTGAGAATTATGTTAATATAATTAAAAAATAATAATTATAAAATATCGATTAAAATTTATTTTGTTTAACTCTCATACAGAAAATTATTATAATGACATATAGTGGATGTGTTTCCATGGAAGTAGGAGAAATAACGCAAAGAAGTTATCATGCAATTTATGTGAACTTTGGGTAAGTCCAAGATTTAGAATTGTAGCTTCGAGGGATATAACTTTTCTCAATCACAATTTTACCTGTTATATATAGTCAAAACTTATTATTATAATATAATATTTAAGGGCTTGATTTTTCAATTTTTTCATGTTGTATGATAGTAGCTATTAGGAGAATTAATAATTAAAAGATCTAAAATATATACTTATAAAAGATCTAACATACATAGTTATAAATAATCATAATTATACATTTGAGTACGATAATCAACATCTTTTTTTAATGAATACCCAATATCGTATTGGGTATCATTTTTCTAAAAAATATGTATAATAAATATCGATCGTACCAAAATTATGGTATAAAAGAATTCAATTTTGATATGATGATTCGGTATCTACCCTATCATAGTGGCCTCAGAGTTGGACTCTCTAGCCTACTTCGGCTCGAAAAGACAAACTTAAAGCCTATAGGTACTTCAATGGGATCTCTCAAGGCCCATATTTTCCGGGCCCAATTGCTTCCTTAAGTGGCCCATTACTAGGAATTGATATAAAATGATATTTATAATAGTATATATATTCATGGGACTTTACCTAGAAAATGATATAAATTATGAGTGAAATTACTCAATTTAGTGAATTTTTTATTTAAAAAATAACAAATGTTTTCCCCCCACAAAATATGTACAATCTAACAAACAAGTGACATATAGAAAAAATACAATTATATTTTTGTATGTCGTGTGTATATCATTGTATGTCCACTGATACATTATTTATTATTTAATGCCCACTACAAATATTTTTTGAGTTGAATTAGAGTTTTTGAGTTTAATTAACACAAATTATTTTGTTAAAGATATAAATATTCAATTCAACAATCAAAATACAAATATTCTACCTAACGTGCTGTAATTTAATGCTATTTATTGGACCAATTGTTTATTTGATTTATCATATTATAAAATGAAATTATTTAATTGATGGGCTCACTCACCTACCCTGATTTTATATTCATCATTATTATTCCTTGATGGCCTTTTATATTTATATATATTTTTAACATTAACTTTTTAATCATAATTTAATTAGATTATTGTTATTCGTTATATTATATTATTAATCTAAATAAAAAATATATATATATATATGTATGCAATTATGTACGACAAAAAATAATATAATTTTTCTAATATTGTATCCACTAAATTAATATATTACAATAACAGTGTGATAGAAGAAAGCAACGTTTGTGTGGAGGATAATTTTTTAATAGCTAAATTTACACGACTTTTAAAAATATAAATAAAATTTAATTAAAAATTGGATTATATGGTCCCTATAAATGTTAGGTATTTCTACTCAATATATATTCTCCCTGTCTCCTATTGTAATAATTAAGGCTATTTTTGGTATAAAAAATTCACTATCTTCCTCTACCTCATTATTTGTATTTCATTTTAGAGCAATTCACATAAATATTTGATATTTAGTGGATTTATTCTCAACAAATAGAGTTAATTAGACCCCAAATGAAGATTAGCAGTTCTAATTATTTCAGTTGCTTATTTTTTTTGTGTTTACTATTATTTGTTTGTATAAATTCATTTGAGGAACAGAAAAATTTGAAGAAATCAGAATTTCCAGATGGGTTTTTATTTGGAATTACTACTTCAGCTTATCAAGTATTTTCTTCTATTTTATTTATTTATCACTAAAATTATTTTCATTTTTTGGATATTATTTGATTTTATTTATTCTTTTTCAGATTGAAGGGGCAATTCTTGAAGATGGAAAAGGGTTGAGTAATTGGGATGTTTTTAGTCATACTAAAGGTATATACAATTTTATTTTATATTTTTTATAATTTCAAACCATACTCACCTCACCTCGTGAACGAGCCGTTGGATTGAGTTAAGATTGAATATTACTTTTATTTTGTCATACTAGAGCTAAAATTTATGCCTTGTCATTTCCATTGTCTATGATTGGCCTGCAGTCGAGTGACTTTTCGCTTCTTGAATCTTTCTTGAGTTTAATGTCAATAGGACATATATGGATAACTTTGACTTTTTTATGTATGGTATTCGTTTTCGTTTGGCTCTTATATCACATCCATCTGGTAGTAGTTGGAATATCTCGTAAAATCTAACCACTTCACTTACTTCATTGC